CAGGGCATCAACGTCGTCCTCGCACAGTCCTTCGCTAAGAACATGGGGCTCTACGGTGAGGGGGCCTGGAAGGGCTTTCATCCGGGCTGCTGGAGGCACCCCGGTGCCTCTGGGGTTTAGCAGCCAGTGTCTTCCTGCTGCCTGTGTTCATCCTGCTGTACTGGGTGGGGATAACCCGCTGGAGACCCTTCCAGAGAACAGGGATCCACTAAAGCTGTGGGGCATTGGGTGTCACAGTATAAGAAGGATATAGAGCTTTTACAGAGCATCCAAAGGGCAAAGGGTCTAGAGGGGAAGCCATACAGGGAGCAGATGAGGGCACTTGGCTTGTTGAGCCTGGGGGAGACTGAGGGCAGAGCTCATCACAGGCTGCAGCTTCTCACAAGGGGCAGCACTGATCTGTGTTCTCTGTGACCAGTGACAGGACCCGAGGGAACGGCTGGAGCTGTGCCAGGAGAGGTTTAGATTTGATATTAGGAAAAAAGGTCTTTACCCAGAGGGTGGTTGGGCACTGGAATGGGCTCCCCAGGGAAGTAGTCACAGCACCAAGCCTGACAGAGTTTGAGTGTTTGGGCAATGCTCTCAGATATGATTCTTGGTGTTCTGTGCAGGGCCAGGAGCTGGACTCGATGATCCTTGTGGTGGGTCCCTTCCAACTCGGAGTATTCTCTGATTCTCTTTCAGGAGAGCGTGCGGGCGCCTTCACAGTGGTCTGCAGCGATGCAGAGGAAGCCAAGAGGGTCGAGTCACAGCTGAAGATCCTCATCCGTCCCATGTACTCCAACCCACCCATGAACGGAGCCCGCATTGCCTCTACGATCCTGAACACCCCTGACCTACGGAAGGAGTGGTAAGAAGGAACCTGTAATGCTCACAACAGTGAGGTGTGAGTCTCTTTGTGGCAGCCCTGTGCTGTGCTTATTGCCTGCTGCTGTCACAGGCAGCTCTTAGCTTCAGGAACAGTCAGAACCATGTGCCGCCCCTTTTCACTGGAGAAATCCCTGCTCATGTCCTGGCATCAGCTGGTATTGGTCTAGCTTGATACAAACAAGTTTTCCTTGTGTTACCAAGGCAGAAAACACTGTAAAGGAGGGATAAAGCTCCCCTGGGATTAAGGGCTGCAGGAGCTGCCTATCCAAGAAGTACAAAAGTCTGACTGAAACGCTGCAGCCACGTAGTGTCTCTCACATGGGGGAAATGGAAGCATAAGCCCCCTGGGAATAAGACCAGGAATGTAACCCTCATGCCCTAAGCCTGCTTCCTGGCATCAGCCTGGGCTGTTCTCCCAGGTCCTCGGTGTGGGGTCCCTACTGGCAGCTGGCCTGGCAGAACAAAGGCTGGCAGTGTGCTGTGGCCTCGCTGGGGGCTGTGTTCTTTTGGCAGCCTGATGCTTCTGCCTGATCCAGGGCCCAGCAGAGACGTCTCCTAGCTGTGCTGCCTTGGAGCAGGGCCTGTCTGCTTGTGCTGGAAGCTGCCCCTGCACTGTTGGTTTATCTGTAGATGCTTTACCTGGGTTTAGGCAGGGCTGCCATGAGGCATCCTGCTGAGCTGTGGCTTTCAGACATGAGAAATGCCTACACTCTGGGAGTAGTGTCCCCCACTATGAAACAAACACATAGCAGTCAGCTTCAGGTATCAGGAGAAAGAAGCAGCTCCCCAGCTGGAGCTACATCTTCATGCTCCCTGGTCTTTGCTCGTCTGCATCCCCATATGAGGCCCCTCGAGGTGCAGAGATCGATTCCCAGTAGCTGGGGTGGGAAGAGCAGTGTTGGGGTGTTCCAGCCCTGCTCTGAGCGGTTCCTTGGTTGGCTCCTCAGGCTGGTGGAGGTGAAGGGCATGGCTGACCGGATCATCAGCATGCGGAATCAGCTGGTGTCCAACCTCAAGAAGGAGGGATCCTCCCGCAACTGGCAGCACATCACTGACCAGATCGGCATGTTCTGCTTCACAGGGCTGAAACCTGACCAGGTAAACGCAATTCCTGTGGTCTCAAAGTGTCCTTTGCGTCCTTATCAGTAAGTTTTTGACTGCAGGTGCCAAGCTGGGTAAATTTGCACTGTGCTGACAGAGCAGAGGTTGGCCTGTGGTTAACTCTGCTCTTTCCCCCCAGGTGGATCGGCTGACGAAGGAGTTCTCCATCTACATGACAAAGGATGGACGCATCTCTGTGGCAGGAGTTTCATCAGGCAACGTAGGTTACCTGGCTCATGCCATCCATCAAGTCACAAAGTAAAGACAAAGGTGTGCCCTGGAGCTGGTGGCTTTCCCTTCCCCACCAGTCAAAGATGGGGAGGGAAAAGAAACAAGCAGAATACTTCCAGCCACAGCACTTGAAGCCGCCGCTGAATGTATCTTGTAGATGAGTTGTTGTAGAAGCCTAGTCAAATCCTCCCTGCGTTGTGGAGCAGGGACATCATTGCTGGCTCCTGCTCGTCACAGCTGCTCTTCCCTTCTGTCCATCCTTTCTCCATCAGCCCCAGCACCCTTCTGCGCTGGAGGAAGCAAAGGCTTAGCCATGCCATCCTACCGGCGTAGGCACCAAAGGCTTCCCCACACTCGTTTTCCCATGAGGAGGCTTTGGGAGGCTGTTGGCTGCTTGCCCGAGTGGCAGCGGGCAGGGAGCTGGGTGGGCTGAGTGGGAGGGCTGCTCCGGTGCACTGCTCCGACCTCCTCAGCCGTTCCCTGCTGCCAGCAGGCTCCATCCTCCTCCATCCTCCCAGCCTGGGGCTGGGCAGCACCAAAGCTGTCCTCTGACAACCAGCTCTGAGGACTTCTGACTACCAAACTCTGCTCCATCGATGGCTTCGCTCTTTCCATCTGGGACTCTCCTCTCAGGTGTAATTCACAGTGGCATCGGTGTGTGGGGCAGTGCCCTCCTCTAAACCTGCCTGGTTCTCCTGACTTCACTCTTGTACCCTGAGGTGAAACCATTTCTCATTCCCCCCCAGTAAGAACCACCTCTGGAAACTGCTCTCTGGTGCTCTCTGCCTCACCCCATTCCTGCCCTAAGCCCAGCAGTCCAGCCCTGTACCTCCCATTGCCCTCCCTTCAGTCTTTGTGTGTGTCCCAAAGCCCTAAGCCAAGAGGTTGGTCCTGCTGTGTGTCCCCCCTCATGTGGGGTGCCCCTCTCATCTGCTCTGTTCAACCACATTTCTGGTGACACCAGAAAACACAAAAGCTCCTGAGGGAAGTCTGAGAGCAGAACTGAGTGTCCCCGAGGTCCTGTGACTCACTGGACTCTGATTTTTAATCCAAATAAACTGGTGCATGGCTATGTTGAGCTGGGGACTTCATCCTGTCATTGTGCAGCTGGATCCTGTCCCTTCCATGCACCAAACATTCCCTTTTGGTGACGTGCCAGCACCTGGGGTCTTGTAGGGCCAGTGAAACCCTGATCTGAGAATCCCACATGGAGAGAGGGCAGTTCCCACCGGTGTGCTACAAGACCACAGGGGTGTGTGAGCTGAGGTCCCAGGTGGGAGTTGGTGTCGTGGAGCTGAAATTAAAGCCTGCAGGGTTGAACGTAGATGTTGCTGGGGAGAGGACAAGTTCCCAAAGACTTCCTGCCTTGGGACATGGGGCTAACCCCTGCCACTGGAGCACGACGGGGTTTCTCCTTGCGGCAGCCCAAGGTGCCTCCCGAGGCAGACCCGGGGCCATTACCTCTGCTGGCACCTTTCGCCTCTGCAGCCATACCAGGGTATTTAGCAGAGCAGTCCTCATTTCTCATTCCTGCCCAGGGCAGCCGTGTGCCCCTTGGGAGCTGGCAAGGACCGGTCTAGTGCACCTCTCCCAGTCTAGCACGCGTTGTTGGCAGGCTGGAGCCTCCCGCCGCTCCCTGACACGGGTTTGCACTTCCACGCCTCTTGTTTACTGGCCCGGTGCCCACAGCCGCTGCTTGCTGTCCTTTGTGCAATAAACCGCTTTCCGTGCTGCTGCCGTGGGTGCTGCCCTCGGCGCTGCGGGTTCCTGTGCTGTGGTTCCCCGGTTCTGCGTGGCTCCGGAGCTGCCTCCTCCTGCCCTTTTACTCTACCTGGGGTCTTTCTCCCGCCCGTTCCCTGTACAATAAAAGCACCCTGGAGCACAGCCCTGTCTGTCGCCCTCTCCTTGCCGCGGGTCCCCGCGCGGCTCAGCCGCAGGGCCGGGCTGCCCGAAGGGGGAGCCCCTCGGTGATGCTCCCCGGGATGCGGGGCCGGACTACAACCCCCGGCGTGCAGCGGGCAGGGCGGAGCCGCCCGCCGCGCTGCCGCCGCCGAGCCCGGCCGGGGCTGGGACCGGCACCGGGGCCGAGCGGAGCGGGTCCGCTCCCACCGCCCGGTGAGTGGGGCCGGGCTGCGGGGCTGCGGGGTGAGGGACGCGCGGGGAGCCCGGCGACCCGCTGGGGCAGCGCGCCGTCCCCGGGGCATCCCCTGCGAGCGGGGGTGGCGGTCACCGGTTTCCGGGCCTTGCTTTTTCGGGGCGGGGGCGCCGCGGGGCTGTCGAGTCACCCTCGGAGAAACGCCTGCTCTCGGGGTCTGCGGTTGTCAGAGTACGGCGGTGCGTTGCCTGGGGGGAAAGGACCCTTCAGTATCCTCCCCCGGCCCTGAGAGAAGCATCGACCCCCTGCAGCATCCTCGGCCGGGTGGGAGCTGCAGCCCACGCGGACCCACCGGCCCGTCCCCTCCACGTTCCTGCCCACAGCGGAGAGGGCAGCCCTTCCTCACCTTTCCCAGAAATCTTTGAAGAGGATTCATAGCAAAAGCACAGGGTTTAAATAGCCCAGAAGCAAAGGGTGGGCTGGGCAGGAAGAGTCTCTGTAGATGTCGTCTACAGAAAAAAAAAAAAAAGAAAAGCTATTTTCCTTGAAAAGAGATTTCCCGTGGCCGTGTAGGTCCCTGCAAAGCCCTGACAGGTTGTGAGGGTTGATTTCCTCCAGCTTGGAGGCACTGAGATGAGATCTGGGCTGTCCCACCCCCAAAAGCTGCGATGCTGGAAACACCAGATCTTCAGGTCCAAAAGCTTCTGAGACATGTGCCAGTGTTCACCCTGGGCGTGCACTGGAAGGGGCCAGTCCTGCTTTTCCTGGTGACATGGTGTTCCTGGTGCACATGTGGGTCATTCCCGTTGAGCTCAGCCTTGCCCTTTACCCAGGATCACGTGCACAGTGGCTCTTGCAGAGCTTGCAGGAATTGGGGTTGGAAATCAGGAAGCTGTGACGCTGGGTCTCGTGCCCACAGAAAGGCGAGTCCTGCTGTGAGGCTGCAGCTCCCCAGCCCCGGAGGTGGGGCTCAGCCCCCCATCTAGCAGCAGCAGTGTCCTCTCCCTGGATCTGGGGCACGAGAGGTGAGTTCTCCTGCTGTGTCTCTGCTGGTGTGAGGACACCTGCGTGCTGTTATCCCCCCCAAACTGAGACCCGGGGAGCTTGTTTTCCCTGTGCCTCCATCTGATGCCCAGGTTGTCCCTTGTTAAGGTAATTTAACTAACTTAACCGTGTCCTTCATCATCCCCTTCTAGGAGCAGGGAAGTGCCTGACCCCCGTGTTGCTGCATCCCAGCCTGCCTGTTTGCTGCCCTCCCTGCCTGATGGAGCCAGTGCTGGCAGAGGACCCTCCTCGAAGCGACGGGCTGAGCCTGGTGCAGGACCACTAGTGGGACGTGGACAGTGGCGTGTGGCACCCTAGGAAGGACGATGGCTCAGGGCACCGGGAGCATCAACAGCGACTACAAGGACTGGGAGTGGAGCGACGATGCTGGGGAACGGGCCAGGCTCCTGCAGAGCCCCAGCGTGGAGACGGTGCCCAAGAGCGCGGAGAGCCAAGGGAACGGTCTGGGGGCCACGTCGGCTCTGGGGGCTGTCTTCATTGTGGTCAACGCTGCCCTCGGCGCTGGGCTGCTCAACTTCCCTGCTGCCTTCAGCATGGCCGGCGGCGTGGCTGCCGGTGTCACCCTGCAGATGGTGAGAGGGTGGGGAAGGGAAAGTCCCCTAAAGTCCCCATCCCATCCTGGGAGGGTGCACGGGAGGGACATGTGGAGCTCCAGAAAGGGCTCAGGGAGGACCAAGCTGCTGGAAAGAAGCTCTGTTGGGTGAGGCACACCAGAGATGCTCAGTGTGTTCAGGGGCGGCTGCCCAGGGTGGCTTTGGGGACCATGTCATGTTGTTGCCTCAGTGTCCCCTCCGTGTCTCTTCCCCACCCTAGTGCATGTTGATCTTCATCATCGGAGGTCTGGTCATTCTGGCATACTGCTCTCAGGCCAGCAACGAGCGGACCTACCAGGAGGTTGTGTGGGCTGTCTGTGGGAAGGTGCCTGGTGTGCTGTGCGAGGTGGCCATCGCCGTCTACACCTTCGGCACCTGCATCGCCTTCCTCATCATCATCGGAGACCAGGAGGACAAGAGTAAGTGTGTCCCACAGAGCAACCGGTTGCTGTCCCTTCAGCTGGAAGGGACAACCTGATTGCCCTGGCTGTTCCCACAGTCATTGCTGCTCTGGTGAAGGAGCCCGAGGAAGCTGGGAGCAGCCGCTGGTACACAGACCGCAAGTTCACCATCAGCATCACTGCCTTCCTCCTCATCCTGCCCCTCTCCATCCCCAAGGAGATCGGCTTCCAAAAATATGCCAGGTCGGTAGGGAGAGCCCTCCAGGGCTGGGAGTCAGGGTAGGCCAGCCAGAACCCACCTAAGCACACAGAGTGGGGAGGCAGAGCACTGATGGTCTCTTGTCCCCTCTCGCAGCTCCCTCAGCGTGATCGGCACCTGGTACGTCACAGCCGTCATTATCATCAAGTACATCTGGCCTGACAAGGAGCTGGTGCCTGTGGAGATCCCCACCAGGTGAGAGGCAGTGACACAATGCTGATGGTGCCATCTCAACACTGCAGAGCCTGGCAGGGGTGTGGCAGCGAGGGCTGCAAAGGGCTACAAATCTTTCGTGAGTCTCATCCCTGGACCTGGGGATGCTGCATGTTGCTGCCTTAAGCTCCCAAGTGGCTGCACCTCTCCATGTTTCAGAGGAGCAGGTGATGAGGAAGAGGAAGAGGTCGTCTTGAAGGTCCCCACGGCTCCATTGCAGGTTTTGAGGAGCACTGATTGACTTTTAGCTCTGATACATCCGGGCCCTGAGTTCCCTGTGCAGTGCTTGTGCTCACCCAGCAACAAGGGCTGTGTTTACTTTGGGATAATTTTGGTATTTCCTTGGCCAGCACAGCCTCTGTGGCTTGTTCCCTCCCTCACAGTGTGGGCATGTTTCTGGAGCCAGTGCAGGCAATGGAAATTTTTGGGCAGAGCAAAGGTTAGACCAGTTTTCTGCGCTGCCAATTAGATCCTTATTTTTTACTGATACTTTTACTTTTGTATGCTCAGGTTGGGCTAGTTCTGTCTCAGTGCAAGGCCCTGGTTTTCAGGGAGTGCCAGGCACTCCACGCAGTGGTATCATGCTGGGTGGGGGGATGCAATAACAGCAGACACTGAGCACTCCCAGCTCATCCTCCCCTGGGCACTGGTTGGGGGGCACAGGGGGCCCTGGTCTGACTGGTGGGTGTTTCTCTCCCACCAGCCCCTCCACCTGGACAGCTGTCTTCAATGCCATGCCCACCATCTGCTTTGGGTTCCAGGTAAGGCCACGAGCCCAGCACTCCCTTTCCATGCCACTGCTGCTTGGGTTGGGGACCAGCGTGATCCAGGGATGCTCCCCTGGGTGATTGGCTAAAACCCTCCCCATGTGCTCACTGCACAGCTTTGGGAGGGGGCTGAAGCCTTTTTAACATCTCACCACCTCTGGATGGAGGTGGATCCATTTCCCCCCAGCTGGGAAGTCCAGGGAAGGCTGTTACCCCACTTTTTCTTCCCCAGTGACAAACCTGGGGGCATCAGGGTATCACAACAAGCCTGGGATATCACAAGTGGGATGCTGCATGGCTCAGCCCATCGTGTATCCCTGTATGTCTCTGTGTCCTGGCAGTGCCACATGAGCAGTGTGCCCGTGTTTAACAGCATGAAGCAGCCGGAGGTGAAGACCTGGGGGGCAGTGGTGACAGTAGCCATGGTGATCGCTCTCTTTGTCTACACAGGCACTGGTGAGTGAGGGGGTGGTACCACATGGGTGTGGCACAGTCCTTGGAGAGGCTGTGAACTTCTGGAGGGCAGGGACCCTCTGGTCAGCAAGAGTGGAAAGGGAGGGGAGTCCATCCAACCCCCTCTGCAGTGTGCCCTGTGCCATATCCATCCAAGTCTGGTCCTTCAAACACAAGTGCAGGAGACTTTTCCTTGTCCACTGCTGACTGCTCCCTTCCTGGCAGGTGTCTGTGGCTTCTTAACCTTTGGAGCTGGGGTGGACCAGGATGTGTTGATGTCCTACCCCTCCGATGACATCCCTGTTGCCCTGGCCCGGGCCTTCATCATCCTCTGCGTGCTGACATCCTACCCCATCCTGCACTTCTGTGGCCGGTGAGCACTGGGAGAAGGCAGGGGCTGGTGTGGGCAGGAGGGGCAGCACAGGGAAGCCCCCCTGCCCTGGGTCTGTGCCCACAGGGCTGTCTTGGAGGGTCTCTGGCTCCGCTACACCGGGGTGACGGTGGAAGAGGACGTGGTTCGGGAGCGGAGGAGGCGCCTGCTTCAGACCATCAGCTGGTTCCTCCTGACCCTCCTCCTGGCTCTCTTCATCCCTGACATTGGCAAAGTCATCTCTGTCATTGGGGGCTTGGCCGCCTGCTTCATCTTTGTCTTCCCAGGTAGGGCATCCCGGGATGCTCAGGGGCTGGCAGGGGTCTCTTGGCCTTGTGTCTTGAAGAGGGAGGGAACAGGATGGTGCCTGGAATCAGGAGGTTTTTAGAGAAGGACAAAAATGTGGCATGAGGTTGGTTGGCAGCCCAACTATTTTGACTGGACTCTGCTCTGTAACAGGGAGTGTGGCTCCCTGGCTTGTGGGATGTCTGCTTGGTCCCCAGGGCACAGTCCTCATCTGGGTCTAATTTGCCTCCCCTGCCTTTCAGGGCTCTGTCTGATTCAAGCCAAGCTCTCCGAGATCCAAGAAACCAGGGCAATCAGGTAACTGAAATGTGCTTTCCCTCTCCCCCATTCCCCTGTGGGTATTGGGTTAAGGTCCCCTGTAAAATGTGCCCTGTCCTCCTGCATCCACAGCTGGTGGGCCCAGGTCAGCTACGGGGTGTTCATGGTCACCCTCGGAGCCTTCATCTTCGGACAGACCACTGCCAACGCCATCTTCCTGGATCTCACTGCCTGACTTCTCCAGGCTGGACTGCACTGCTGCTGCTGAGGGGACGCAGATTCCCCCTAGGACCAAAGGGAAGTGGGGAGAAAACACGTTGGCGTGTTGGAAGATCCAAGAGGAGCGTTGTAACTTGGGGCTTGGCCGAACAAGCCCTGTGGTGGTTCGTATCTCATTGTCTTAAGGCTCCAGGCAGTCAGGTTTCTCTCAGCCCTGGCTCCCTGGTGAAGCCAGAGCAACACTACAAGGGGACCTGTAGTCCAGGGCAAGCCCCTTCTGTCCCTCAGGGTGGACATCACTCTGTCAGGCATCACTAAGGGGTCGTGGTTGGGGTCTGTGAAGCCGAGCTGCTCCCATCCGTGTACCCCCGTGCTGGTGGAGCTCCTCTCCACAGCTCAAACTCCTTCTTCTCCCAGCTTTGGAGGGAGAAAGAGTGTTTTGCATAAAGGGAACTAGTAATCATGTTTACCAGACAGGGTGACACCCCTGTAGTCATCTTCTGTGTCAATGTTTGGTTTGAACTCTGCTTTCCTGTGGCTCAGCTCACTGGTCTCCTGCCCCTCTGCCTGGGCTGCAACTTCATGTTACAAAGGGGGACTGTTGCCTTCAGCCTGATTTTTTGGGGGGGTGGGGGTGGGATCAGGATGACCCTGGGGTAGGAATGCACCAGTGCAGTGTTTTCCCTGCAAGAGGTTGATCACTCGGTAGAGAAGTTGCAATGACTGCATCGAGCTACTGAAGGCACTACACAAGAGCAAAGCTCTTCTCTGGATTTCCAATCCTGTTCTTCCAGGTGTCCAGGGAACGGGACTGGGCCAGGTGTAGGTTTTAAGGGATGCTTTGGAGATAAAGCAGTCAGTATTAATCTGTTTTATATTGTCTCCTGTGGCTGGTGTTGCTCTGGGCTGTCCCTCTGCTGCCTGTCTGGATGATCATTTCATTCCTGCTTTTGCTGGGTTAAGGAGCTCCCCCAGCTGCACATTTGGCTGGGGGAGTTAAACCTCAACAGCAAACGGCTCTGGTTATGTCTCTGAGTTTCTTTTGACCTTGTTTGGCTACTAAACCCCTGGGAGAGGGAGGAATTCACGTGTCCCTATTGCTGCAGCTGTGAGGAGGGTCCAGCCATCCTTGTGCAAAACCTTGCCCTTCCTCTCCAGCATCTTTCTGGAAGCAGCCCAGGCTGTCATGGTGGGAACTCCAGTGAGCCATGGCATGTGCTCCTGTACTTCTCACCATGGCTCTCTCCCTCTGCAACCAGAGGCTGCAGACGGGACGACAGCACTTGGGTTCTTCCCCACGTGGAAACTTTTGGTTTTTCCTTATTAACACTCTCTGTGTGTAAATGGGGATCTCCCCATCTCTGCTCAGGATAGGACAGGGAGATCCAGATGGAGAAGGAGGAAGAAAAGCCCCAAGCACAGCAGGAATGTTTGAGGAATGCTGTGAGGGAACAGGTCCCTCCTTCCAAGGGACCTCCAGCCCCCATGCCCTCAACTTTTGACAAAACCAGGCTCCAGCAAAACCCCCACTGGTATGGCACCAGCTGCCTCCCAAGCCCCTTCCACCAGCAGGTGCTGGGGCTTGGGGGACCCTTTGGCATAAAGAAGATGTCCACTCCTCCTGGATGTGGGGAGCACAAAGCCACCTCCCACGGCGCACAGCAGAGGTGCCGGAGGCTCAGCAGGTGCCAACGCCAAAATGCCCTCCATGCCTGTCCCCCACCAAGATGGGGAGGGGTTTGGTACCCACTGGGTCTTGTGGCCTTGGCTTTTCCAAAGGTGTGCTGGGCACGAGGAGGTCCCAGGGCCGGAGTGGAGGAGGACGTGGTGTCCCACGTCTTTGGTCGTCACCCACGGCTGAGGGCAGGACAGGTCTGGAGGTGCTGTGGCTGTTCCTGTTTGCCTTACTGCTCCCCTGACTGTTTACAAACACCGGCCTTTTAACGTGTGTTTTATACGTGCAGAAAGCAGAGGGGGCTTGGACTCAATAAAAGTGAGGTTGTGGTGCGTGCGCTGGGCCAGCACGAGGTGGTTTCTGTGGGAGGGGGACGCTGCCGGGCGGGATTCGGGGACAGAGCCGTGTCCTGAAACGCCACCCCAGCTCTCTGAGCTTTGGGATGGATGGCGTGGGGCTGGTGGTCCCACTGCCTTCCTCAG